AAACAATTCAATTCTTAAATTGTTTGAGGTACCTGGTGGTATGCGGAGTAGATGTTCTCCACAAGACTGCAATCCCGATTCACGCGCTGTTTTTAGTGTTTTGAACTCGATCACGTTACTGCGTTGATAGGTCTTTGGATTGTCTTTAGATTGCTGAAGAAATGTCTCAAATCAAGGAGATGAGGGGGGGGGGGGTGTTAGAGGTTGCCACCGTTTCCATGCATGCAGAATCACTGAATCAGAATATTATAACAAGGTTAATGATGCATGTTAATAATAAATATCATTATAATTCTTATACAAAATTCTGTTATTCACAGACTCGAACAAAGCTGGAAAAGAGAGTAACAAATTTCGCATTTGTAAATAAATCCGCTGTTCACCTCAAATCTTCTCCTGGAAACTTGTCATCGTTCTTGAAGAAAGAAGTTATCAATCCCTGGAGTATATCTGCTGATTCTATACAAGTCATCAAAGAGGGAAATGTAATCTATGAGTATGTTGGTCAGGAGAAGTATAACTCCGCAAATCTCTTGGGTGTTCTTGTTCTTTCAATAGTGTTTGGAATTGTATTCTATTCCCTAACACTCTATTCATTCTCAGTTGGATTCAGGTATGGGTAAAATGTAGGTCAGCGTAGTCTAAGCCAAAAAAAATGGCTTAGACGGGTTCTGAGGACGATCCCGGCGAATTGGGTGGGTGTCGGGAGGGTCGCTCTGAACCTTACACTGCCAGTGTAACTGAGTAAGAAGGGAGTGTTCTAACCATGCTGCCTTATTTATAACAATCCTCCCATTCTATTAGGCACGTGACAGCTTCTCCTAACGCATTTCCGGCCTATTATACCTTTATCAGTCTTTGCATATCATTAAGAGTATTGTGAATAGTATTCTATTCCCTAACACTCTATTCATTCTCAGTTGGATTCAGGTATGGGTAAAATGTAGGTCAGCGACCTTTCACCTGTTATGGTAACCCATCCCAATGTCTGCCATCCTCCCAACAATCCTATTCCACACCCCATCCCTTATTCCAAACCTAATCCCAGACCTTAACTGGTAGCGCTTGGTCACACATTACGTGTCCGGGGCAAGGCGTTTTTGTGGATTAGTGGGTGGAAAAGCGCACACAAAACGTCGTAATTCATTGATATCATTCCACGATTGAACTGGCTCCTCCGAACTGCGAGAGGCAAGTCTAGCTGAAGCGGCTTGAGGGTTAAGCACCTTGGCTAACTGCATGTAATACACCGCAGTATGTCTTCTTGACCATCCGACGTGTTCCATGATTTCGGCCAGGTCGGCCCCTGAAAGCGCAAGCGTGATGGCACATCCTGCACGGAAACCATGGAGGGTCTCCCCTTGATCTGCATGCATCTCCTTCAGATAACCCTTAAGGCGCGCTTCGGCGGCCGAGGAACTCAGTGGTGAGTCCTGAATTCCCTTATTAGGTGCCAATGGGCGAAATAAGTAACCCGCGTCAAGTCAATACCCAGCTGGCGAGCAAGGTCCATGTAACGCTCAATGGCTTGTATTGGGCAGATAACGCGTTGTGGATTACGCCTAATACCAAAAACATTAGCATCGCCGTCGCGTAGGGTTTTGCCCCACACGTGATTAAATAGTAATCCATCGTCATTCGGAAATCGCAAGATCTCCGAAACCTTAATTTGTCCCAAATCCCCTGGCCTATCACCACTAAAAAACGCCATTTTGAAATACGCCTGATCCCTAGCTAGGAGAAAACGCTCAACCGAATCGGTAGAGGTCTGCAATTTGCGATCCAAATGAGTACAGAGTTGTGTTAATTTGTCCACAAAAAATGGCGTAGCTTGCTTAGGGGTGATCCTGGCCTGCAATTGCTCTGCGGTGACTAAGCGGAGATAATCCTTCACAGACTTGTCTGCGGCGGGGTTGCCTAAACCCAACCGTCTGTCCCATTCCCCGTCGCGTCCTACCGAGTGGAAGATGGCACGCAATTTACCAATATAGGAATCTACTGTGTTATACGAGAGGCGGAACGGGCATGAACAACTAAATTTGCCTTTGAGTCCCAAATGCGGGCAACCATTTCGGTGAATTTGCGTTTTACCATTACGATCTTTAAATATAAGGAAACGGCAAATATCACGTGGGGTCACAGTGGTTACTGTGATGTGTCCCGGTAGGGACGACAGGAAAGACTCCAACTCTTTGCGTAGACTATCTTTTTGTTTAGAGTAGCTAGTTGCACGGTCGAAGCTCAATAACTGGTTAAGGCGATCGTCAATTTGAGCAAGATCAATTGGCACCGAAGAACCTGATCGTATCTGGACAATTTTCCTACGATAACCGCATCGTTGGCAGAATCTGAAATCATGGTCGTTCGCATGGCTGCACGTTGGACAGCTAACTGACGGCAGGAATAACTTTGCAACAGCTGGGAGATCCTAGCCGCAAAACAAATGGGACAACAATATATTAACGAATATTTATTTGAAGATACCATCAGTACACAACGTATAAATATAATTTTATCTACAGTACTCATGTAGTAAAGTCCAAAGCAAATGCCCAAAGGTCTCCTGGAAGTCCCGGGTGGGGGCGCCATCCATCCTTAGTAGGGACATTGAGTGCGAGCATGTCTCCCTTGGGCGCCAACATACATGCTTTCCGCGATGTACGCTGTAATGAGGGCCACCAATACTTACGAGGATACACATCTAAAATTACCACAGTACACGCCTGAAGGTATTGTTCAAGGAAACGAAGGAGTGGGCCAACCAAAACCAATGGTGGGAAGGCATAAGGACGCTGGAGGTACGTTGCGTATGAAAAGAGATCTTGTGCAAATAAGTTCACTCCTAACGATGATGGGGAAGGGTGTGGAGTGAAGTGAGGAAGAGGGTTCCCGTCAAGATCTTTCATCGTATTCGAGTCGAGTGCCATCAAATCACAGGTGTGGCCGATACTACCCCCAAATTCCTTCTGGACCATTTCCCAGATCGCCGGGGTAAGCGTCGAGTCAAGTGAAGAGGACCGTCGAGAGGGACTATCGGCAGGGTTGTCCGCTGTAGGGACGTAGGCTAAACTAAGTGAGACATTCAAGTCTATGGTAGTGAAAAACAGCCGTTTTAGTACATCATTCAAAACAGGGCTCCTGCCCCCACGATTCTGCCAAGCGAGAATGACTGCCTGATTATCTACCTGTATATCAACGCGAGCGTTTCGAACGTGGTCATGAAAAGCGTGCAAAGCCCGATCTATGGCAATCGCTTCCTTCGTTGAAATATCCCACGATTGCTCCTGTGGTGTCCAATAATCAGACGCTTCAACGTAGGATGGGGCAGTCATAAGAGCCCCCCATCCTGATTGCGACGCATCCGTTGCCATTTGGACGCGCACATGTCGCTCATCTCTCCATTTAAGAGGACGGTTCCAGACTTCTAGGGAAAGCCAATGTTCAAGTTCAGTCCGCAAGGGACCTTGCAGGGGAAGAGGTCGCAAAGATCCCTGGCCTTTTGAAATTGCTGTGTTCATTTCCCGCGTAAATAATTGTGCCGCAGGGACGGCCAAGGAGTAAGAGGCACACTTACCAGAAAGACGCTGTAATGTCTTCACGGAAACCACCTTATTTTGTAGTGTGCTCCTTATAAGCGCAAGAAACCTATGTAACTTTTCTGGGATCATGAGAAACGTTTCCTGAGACGAGTTCACACAAAAGCCGAGATACGGGACCTCTTTCCGCGGTTCCAAAATTGACTTAGCGAGGCCCAAAAAATAGCCGAGACGGATGAGGTAATAGGCTATAAGGAAGACCGCGGACTTTGCGGCTGCGAAGCATTGGTCATCCAAGTTCGCTAACATTGCATATGCGCCTTGAGTTGGGGTGATATTCAATTGTCCATTATGTCTATCGTCAATATATAGGAGACAGGGGATTCCCAGGGAACGAAAGAAATTGGAGACCATAAGACCGGTAGTTTGGTAGATGTATGGCGACAACTTCCAGCCAAAAGGTAGTGTGTTATATGTGAAGTACCAACCTCCCCATTGTATGCCGAAGTAGGTGCGACTCTCTTCGGTGAGTAATAAATGATCATACCCAGACTTGTCGTCTAAAACAGTCTGGTAAGAATCCTTGAAAACGTATCTTGGTAAATCAGCCAATTTATCGAGGGTGAAAGGTCTGTCCTGTATCCAAAGATTAAGAAATCTCGCATCATGGCATAACCTGGGCTTTGTCGGCTCAACCGTCAAAGGTAATACAAGATATGGGGGATCGACTTCTCCCACGCGCCCCAGCAGCGATATTGCTCCATTCCGTAGGCGTTGCAAAAGTGTTTGTTGAATAAAAGTCACAAAGGACTTACAACAGGTGCTATTTTTAAACTGTCTCTGGGGTGGACGCTCCGAATCATAATGTTGACCCTTAAACTGTCCCTTAAAGGGCCGAAAATAACCGGTAACAGAAACTTTATTACGTATCCAGGATAAAACTTCCTGTTGTTCTTGTGCTGGGAAACGGTTGGCTAAGTCCTCCCATGCGTTTATGTTGCGGTGCAACTCACCCGCTTGGAAATTATTTGGATCTGGGAACACTAAGGATTGGGCATCTCCAATCTCCTTGTTTGATTCGACAGAACGAATGTGTTGGAGGAGATGGTCATTCGCTGCCCTCCCTCCCGCGGCAGACACAGGCTCCCCCCGGATGTTGACCCACTGCGTATGATTCACAGATGAGACCGTTCGAACCTGGCAATCGAACGATTCGGATCTTTCCCAATGCCAATAAGGTGTATTCTACAAAAAAAACAGAGGGTCTCACCAAGGGGATACCCATGACCGCCAGCAGAGAGAAAGCAGCTTTGACCCAGTTTGACTGGGAGGGTTGATTTAGATACCCCGTTTTCAAAGTGCCAACTTCCACAGACGGCAGAGTCGGTCCCTTCCATTTCGATATAAGAGGAAAACCCACAATAAAGAAGCACAACTATATATACCAACATCTATAATGGATTGACATCATAAATATTAGAAGAATTTATTCACACAACATACAATAAATATCCTGAACAGTTCATTCAAACATAGGAAACAACAGCAAGTATACACCAAACGGTGCCTTACTAAACATAGGCGCGTCTATTTTGGCTGTCTTTCCGGCGTGTTCTGAGTGGATATAGACTGAGTTAACTCAGATTTTCTCATCATACATTTCGACCAGACATGTCCATATTTATTGCAATGAAAACAGCGGATGTTCCTGGTTGTGCTTTCCCTAGGAGACACCCTATAAGGAGCAGCGTTGCCCCGAGCATAGGACGTCCGTGATGTGGCCGGTATTTTGAGCATAGATTTCTCGACCTTGGTGAGTGCATCAAAAACCTTCTGCTGGTCCTTATCACCAAGAAGTCGTAAAACAAGGGATTGGAAGTGTTGATGCGGGAAGTCAATCTTGGATCTAGCCATCTGGAAGGCCAGTCTGAAATATTCGGCCCGCTCATGTTTACTATCCCTCGCAGAGTTTTGTAGCGTGTCAAGAATTTCCAAAGCGTCATACTTGTTAAACTCAGAAGCAGGGCGCATGGCATAGTCCAGAGCTTTCTTGGATAATACGGGAACCGACAAGGCAGATAGGTCATTGATCGACTGTTGCAACTTGGCCAAATCCTGTCGTAATCTCTATAAGTGACAAATAATGACCCCTTAACATTGGGTTTATACCCTAAATGGGCAACCTTTAACGATTATGGGTGACCATTTCCATTACACTTAATATTAACTACCTCTCTCTTTTTTTTTTTTTTTTTTTTTTTTTTTTTTTTTTCACATGGCAGTTATCCAAGTAATTATGGGTAACATTATGAATAATAATAGTTGCCCCCACACCGGGGTTGCATGCGACTAATCAGGTGCCCATTGTATGAAGAATGCGCATCATAAATTTTGGCGAACTCTCACCTGTCTTCTGCGGTAAATTCTCATTCATAATATTTGTGGTGAATTCTCACCCATATTCTGTGGTGAATTCTCACCCATATTTTGTGGTGAATTCTCACCCATATTTTGTGGTGAATTCTCACCCATATTTTGTGGTGAATTCTCACCCATATTTTGTGGTGAATTCTCACCCATATTTTGTGGTGAATTCTCACCCATATTTTGTGGTGAATTCTCACCCATATTTTGTGGTGAATTCTCACCCATACTCCGTGGTGAATTCTCACCCCCATTTTATGGTGAATGCTCACCCATATTCTGAGGTGAATTCTCAACCATACTTTGCGGAGAATTGTCACCCATAATTCAAGGTGAATTATCACCCATCCTTCATATTAAATGTTGACAACCCATTGAAAGCTAGGCTATTTTATAACCGATTTCCATATCAAAGAAGGATGGGACTACATGACTATTTAGATCATTAATGAAAACAAGACAATAACATGCAAGTGGAACTACTGTTCACTCCCCCTGGAAGAACAAAGGGCGCGATTGTCCCTTCCCAGCGATTAAAGACAATAGTATACCTCCTAACCACACGGGCATGAATACGTGTGAGACAAACAGCTATGTATTCAGCAGTAGAATCCAAAACGCAGTGAATGTGTGTTAAGTAAAGAATAAATTAGAGATAATACGTACAATAAATGTAATGCGTACATGTAATGCGTAACGACAGAGACCGAAGTGGCTTAATTGTCACGGACAGGGCCCGTTCGGCACTTTGGTAAACTATGATGGGATATAAAAAACAACAACAAAAGACGATAGAATAAATAAACAATGCGGGAAGGTCGACTATGCATTTTTATACAAAATCTAAGTGACGAGAACAAAATTAACACGAGTAAAAGAACTAGTTGAGTTAAACACCCAGAGTAATCTACGGCACTAACAATCGTGGCGTTAGAGCAACAAAAGACAAAACTCCCTACCTCCAATTCATGTTGTTGATCGTCATTTCGAACGGGTGCCGCTGCAGGATTATCCCCGGCTTGTTGAGGTTCCTGTTGTACAGCTTGCTCTTGTTGTTGATTCACGGGCGCCACGTATTGTATCTCCGGCTCGTTATCCATTCTCCCAACGTAGAAAAAGAAATTCGCGGGATCGTACGAAGAAATCACAAAGCTGAACCTTACACTGCCAGTGTAACTGAGTAAGAAGGGAGTGTTCTAACCATGCTGCCTTATTTATAACAATCCTCCCATTCTATTAGGCACGTGACAGCTTCTCCTAACGCATTTCCGGCCTATTATACCTTTATCAGTCTTTGCATATCATTAAGAGTATTGTGAATAGTTTTGAATGGTCTGGGTGACAATGGAAAAGCAATAGCGGATTTCTTTAGTTGTTTGTTTCAACTTTTCATGAAGATCGTTGAAATAATAATGTGGTATGTGACATATTCCTTCGGAGGCCATTTGGCCATATTTCTATCGAAATTTACATTTCCCATGTATAATTCTATTAATCTATGCCTTTGGTAGCGTCAATCTCTTCAGCTATTCAAAATTTTCTTCAGGTTTTCGCCTATTGGTATCACAAGTATAATTGCCGGAAAGCTGGCTGCAATGAACGATATAGGTGCAACAATGGAAAATATTGGACTATATGTTACAACAGTATTGATAACATCCGTAATTTTTGCAGCCATTGTTGTCACGGGTATATATGTCATTTTGCTGCGACGAAATCCTTTTAAACTTATGAGATCTATTGCTAAAGCATTGCTTACTGCTTTCGGCGTAGCCTCGAGGTGAGTAATGTAAGAAGAAAATTCTTTAGAGTTTTAAGAAATTGCATGTTTAGGTGGTATATGGATAATCTGGTATTGAGCTTCATGAGTTCTAGGGAAATTTTTTCTTCATATTTATAACTATGCAATGACATCGTAAATAGTATATATAGTTTGGAATGGATAACGTAATTGCTACCGTAGGTAGACCGAGTTGAAAAATGGGCTAAGTTTTTCCTTTTGCGTCGCGAGTTTACGAAAATCACGAGTGAGCGGCACCAAGGGCTCGAACGAATCGAAATCGTCCTATAAGATCGTTTCTCGCGTGCGGGTGTCACGAATATGCCATAACACCAAAAATTAGGCGTTAAACTGCGTTACAAACATAAGCGAGATATACTCAGTTGAGCTCAAGTGAACGCTTGAGCAGGAGTCTTGCTATTTTTCTTGTTTGTAGTATATTGTTTATTTATATATTATAAATTATATAAAAAGGATATATTTGGTATTTCAAATCTCTAATCATATATAGATTTGGTATACAATTACCCAAATGTAACCAGTAGTCACGGCCATTTTATCTTTAAAACGTAACTCAAATGTCTTTCAGTGCTGCATGTTTGCCTGTGACTTTAACTTGCTTGAAAGAAAACAAAGTGGTTGATAATCGTCTTGCTCAGCTTATGCTTCCCATTGGAACAGTATTAAATGCTCCTGGAACGGCGATCTCTATCGCTGTTGGTACAATGTTTGTTATCCAAACATTTCATCCTTACTTGCGCACCGTGAGTTCATGCATTCTTATCAGGTAATTTTATAAAAACATCATAGCATGACATGCAAGTCAGTCCGTTTGCGTTCTTAGATTATGTTAACCATTTATTAGCATATATGGTGCTTGCAATGGCCAATACTGACGTATTTTGGAAGTAATCCGCCATCATCGGCTCACGTGAGCCTTTTAGTTCAATCGGAGAACTAAGAATCATTTGGAAAAGCAGAGAGGGAAATGTGTTATATTAACCTTGGTATATATTATTTCATCTGCATTCTATGATGGCTTGTTTACTTTTATAACTAACGGAATTTCAATTTGCCACCAAAAATGGCGGAAGGCAGAACAAGAGCTATATTAGTAGCATGTTTTTCATTTTGTTTGAACATCCACAATTCTATCTTTCCCACTCATAATGCTGATCAAATAGAGAAAAGAATCCATTTGATTAGTAGTATGAGTGCCCAAACAATCCAAATCAATCAAGAACCTTCTCATCTGGAGGGCCACTATATGAAGTTAAGAGAAATTCTGTCCGTTCAAATTTCTACAATCCATAGAAACAATCTGCATTTCATTTGCCATTTACTAGCGTATCGTCAACAATAGCAACACTTGCGGCGCCACCTATATCTGGGTCTGCGCTGATTGCTGTTCAAGGCATTGTCTTACAAGTCATTGGAATTCCAACGGCTGACGTCTGGTTGATCTTTGCTGTTGAATGGTTGACGTAAGTGTGTTTTAATTAAAGGCTTCCAGCTTCACGTTTCTATATGTCAAACTCAAACGACCATAGGCAGAAGAAATGCTATAATATGTTTTATGTTATACAGAGATCGCATTGTTACCCCTGTCAACATTTGGGCAAACAGTTCAGCTTTGGTTATAATTGAGCATTATTCACGTGACGAACTCCAATCGCTTGATGATTGTACCGAAGCACTTGAGGAAGTATCTGCAGTTTCAGCTGAAGGTGCACCTGATTCAGGTCATGCGAATGCTGTCGTTATTGATATTGCGGATGAAGTCGTTCAAGAAGATGAAGGCAAAAAAACATAACATTCTAGAGGCTTGGTAGAAGATTGACAAATTTTGAGTACTGTTTATGTCATTTATATTTATAATATATAGTGCTATATAGTATATTCTATTAACTGTGATACAACCAATTGGAATAAAATAAATACGCTTCTTGTATGAATAAATCTACCCATCACGCATTATTATAATGTTAACAACAATACAACAATATTAAGGCTAGTTTCCACTCATGAAAAATCTCCTTTGGATCGGAACGGGCAGGAAAATTTCCCGGTGAGCTCTCAGGCGGCGTTTATATAATTATACAAAGGAACCTTTCTTGTCCTGTCCTGTCCGATCCAAAGGAGAGTTTTCCTGAGTGGAAACTAGCCTTTACAATAATATATTTGCAGGGGCTTTAAAATGCTGTTTTCACATCACGGTTTGTCGAAATTTCACAGGCTGTTGTCCTATTCTTTACCGTAAGTTATATCTTTATGCAGAGAAACATCAAACCTGTAACTTTTTCATCAACAGGACGATAATATATTATAACTAGTAAACTAGAAATAATCAAAGATTAGCAAATGCGTTCGGTGATCGGATTTCTCATCGCTAAAACACTGCAAGATAGATTCCTGATGCTTTGATAAGAATCCTCACTGATATTTCAAGCACTTCAAAATCAAAGTAATCTATAACATGCAGGCGAATACGAAAGCCCAATTGCCCAGTCCTAACTCATAAACCACAATAAAATACGGGAAGCACGTGAAATTAGGACACGACACGAAATCCGGCAGGCGAAGCAAACGCAAAAGCACGAAAGCGAGGCAAATGCCACACAAAAATCGCAACGATATAGCAACCAGCCGTGACATCACGATTAGGAAGCGTTCTCATTCGTCGAACAAAATAATTATACAGGGTGCATGTACCCAAAAAAGCAACACTTAATATTCATATTGTTATTGAGCACCAATAGTCTCTCGTTTCACGTATAAGCACTCCTAGTAGACATACTCGATATCCAAATTTTTTTTGTGGTAATTTTTATCCTGTTCAATGAGGTTTACCGATTTTCTAGCGCGTGGTAAATATTCATATGTCTGCTGGACGGATTTCTTTTGTAATTACAATAGTTTATAAAAGAAATCCGTTGGGCAGGACTGCATGAATATATAAATATTCACCCCCCAGTTATCTTATAGTTACGCCCCTGGAAATCGCGTCCTGTCTGAGTGGGCCTTTTGTATGTAAGGCTTTAATGATACACGGCGTATACTAGTTCTGTCACGTAGCTGTCCACCAAAATAGAACCGCTTATACAATTTTCCTACAGTGGTAATTTAATTGGTTTGTTTCATCGGTTACGTCGATTGCAACAATCCAATATCTAGACAATGAGATGATAATATAATAATGATTTTTTAACTGACGTCAAAGAAACGCCTTTAGAAGTTGAAAAAATTTTAAAAATCAAAACCGACTTATAATTACAGTCGATACTACCTTCTTTGCAGGCGCTCCAGTTTGTAGATATTTGCGGGTGGGAAGCCGAAGAGACCAATCAATGGCCACAATTTTCGAGAGAGTTCCCTATTGTAAATATGCTAATTAACATTTAATAATTGTTTGCCGAATTAAGGCAAGGTCGAGGATTCATTCAGAAATATATAGTTTATACTGAATAACAGTTTGAATGTAATTAATACACTGAAAGTGATTGTTTAGAGAACCAATCTCGTAGAAAACACTTTTTTCACAAACCTGTAAACAAATATCTATTGTGATGGTACGAAAATTCAGTCTACAACCAAGCATTTTTACAGGCTCTAATGGTTTGAAATACATAATTCAGGCCAAGTTTTGTCGCTACCTCAGTTGCAGTTTGAGCCACATTTTTTTTCTTTCATGTAACTTATAATTCTTCATCTTTCAGTTTGACAAAAACAAGTCAAAAACATCTCTCAAAAATGCCTCTTAGTTAGTTTCTATGTGTATTAAAATCAATGATAATCGCGTGTAACCTTACTGATAAACTCGCGGCATTTACATCGGCATCTAGAATCTATAAGAGCTCTTTTACGTCGTAGCATTCTAGAAATTAGTATAAGTAGCTAAGCTCAGCCCGAGATTAGCGTCGGGTAATTTAACCTTTAGACGTACAATTTTAAATAGGTTCTATATATTAAAATAAATGGTAATCGTGTAGTTGCTTTAACTCTATGCTTTAATTATGGCCAAAAATGCAGACCAACGTTAACAAGGGTGACAGGCATACGTGACCTAAAATTATATAACATCATATGACAGACGCACGCAATGACGTCACATAATTATATTTTTAACAATTATAATTTTCCATTTGCCAATTTCCGTCTTTTGCCCAAAATATATATCTACATATATTATCACAGATCAGCTATGAATGTATATAGCAAATGATATAGTTAGCTTTGTGTATGAAAATATACTAACTTTCTAAACTCGTAACTTTTAGATTAATCTAGAATCTGATATAAGAGCTCTTATAGTAATTAAGACCTACTCAGTGAAAGCTCTTACTCGTCAGACCATTCATAGCAATTTATCTGATCACGTAGCAATCAGTTCTCGAAGATTAAACTTTGCCCGAAATTAGCGTCGGGGAAATTCAATTGCCTACAGGGTGTCCGGCTAAAGAAACGAAATGGAATAGAACTTTTTCATAATGACGTATGATGACATCAAAACTCAAACGCGATAGTTTTGTGCAGCCAGTCAAATTTCGTGTAACATCAGAATTTCCACGTTTGACGTCATTATAAGAAAGGTCTATTGAGAGACCTTTACGAAGGATATATAGAAGAATAAAATCAAACACAACACGAATTCATTCGTGTCTTCCGCCCCATGCGGTGCACTTTATGAAATAGATAATAGCTTTGACAACTGGCAACCGAGATACAATATATATTTTACATAGATATTTTCAATTCAAATTTCAATACATTTCATTCTTTTCGACACCCTGCACAGAAAAGGTTTAGCCCACACTATATTTATCAGAATTTACTACGTGATAGCAATCATATATATAAAGGTAATTATATACGTCTCAATCATCAGTTGACTTAACAGGCCTAACGGTGTCCACGAAGAATTACTGTCATATACTGTCAATCAGTGAGCATACGGTATAATTAAACTGTCTAAGATATGTCGAAATCTCTTGCCAAATCTTTGAAAGAAAACCTTTTGCTTTTCCTGTTACTCCTTGGGACAGTTCTAGGAGTTCTACTTGGAGTATTCTTCAACGATAAAGTTCAACAATCATCGGAATCAAGAGAAATAAAAATGTTTATCGGCTTTCCAGGAGAATTATTTTTACGAATGATGATGCTTATAGTTTTGCCATTTATTGCATCGAGTGTTATAACTTCTTTAACAATGATTGATAAAAATACTGCAGCCAAAGTCGGTAAATGTGCAACAGTTTATTTCTTGGTGGCCTCTTTGATCGCAACCGGCCTAAGCGTTTTTTTAGGAAGAGTTTTAATAAAACCACAAGCCCATGAAGTCCACAAAGCAGAACATACCATTACGAAAGGGGAATCAAGTACAACGATATACGCGTTATTAGATTTAATAAGGTAACAAACATTAAATATTCAAGAGTAATTCAACATGTTTTTGAAATAAACCGGTTACACTATGCAATTTTCCTTGCAACTTGCAATGAAATTCTACTCCTGAAGCACCTAAAGTTGTCAAATACGAACATTTCTTACGATCTCCTAACGTTTTCTTAGCATTTTGAACACTCTTAAGAAATTAAAACCATGAAAAAAATAATTGCATTGCAAGTCGGAAGGAAAATTGCATAGTTCATGTATGATGTATACTATGAACATGCACCGTCTATATATAGCATACTGAATTTATTATTTTAAATTTTAAAATGTGCGGATTTCTCTTTAGTAAGCCAGCCTTATTACTATAAGATACCTTCATGAAAACTTAATTTTGTCATGCTTATTGAGACTGGCAGCACCGCAAAACATCTCGAAATACCTTACTGCATGAGCATGCTCGAGTGACATGTTTTCAATCGGTACCATGCGCACAGAGACAACACATATTATACATGTAATTTCATAAATTTGAAGAAAGTATTTAGTCAGGGTCAGCATGAGCATGTCAATCGCCAAAAAATTATCAATATCTTTTTTAATTCATTCAGAAACATGGTTCCTGACAACATCATTGAAGCAAGCATTTCATCTGTAAGTGTCTCATATATCAATGCGTAGAAAATCATACTTTTTGCATTGCAACGTACATAATAAGCCGATTTTCGCAATTAGCAATGTATAATGATTGTTGTAGAACTCTCATATGCAACCATTTGAAACAAATTGCTCATATACCAAAAAAGTAAATTCTTTTCGAAAGATATTAATCCTGCTGAACGGTTTTACAAAATGTAGCCTTCTCTCTATTAAGACGGGTACAAAGCAGGAAAAGAAAGACACAGGTTCGAAGTTTGTGAACGTATCGGCAGTTGGCCTCAAATTAGATCCCGGAAACTTATCATCGTTTCTGAGAAAAGAAGTAATCAATCCGTGGGGTGTGTCACCTGATTCAGTACAAGTTATCAAAGACGAAAATGTAATCTATGAATACGCTGGTCAAGAGAAATACGGCTCTCCAAATATTCTGGGTGTTCTTGTGCTTTCGATACTGATTGGAATTGTTTTGAGTGGTCTTGGAGAAAAGGGGAAGCCAATGGCAGACTGGTTTAGTTGTTTGTTTCTACTGGTCATAAAACTGGTTGATATAATTTTATGGTATGTACCCATATCTACTTCTATTTAGTTATTAATTCAAGTAGCTGTGCAAT